ATATATGGTAGATATACATTACCCAGGAAAAACTAGCGTCTTCACTGTCGGATGAGGCATTTTCTAGATCAGCTCGATTGGCCGCTTGCCACTGTGTCCTCGTCTTTTACTGGAAATGCTCCACTCCATCTGTCGTCCGTCAATGTGGACATTGATTTTCTGAGGTGCAAACACCCCTGGTTGGCAAGACCTAACGGGGTTGCGCCAGCCTCGCACAAAGATCTTTCGGCTCCACATCATTTAGTTCAACCTGAGAGCAGTGGTAATTTATCGAAAATCAAGCTGGGGCACATTTATCCGGAACAAACGCCGAAAGTTTTATCCCAACTGCTGGCCCGGCCTCTGCACGTGAGGCGCAAATCGGAGAGAGCGTTCAGCAGCATTCTAACCTGATATGGAACCACATTCCCAGATTATGTCAGGCGATCGAGCGGTGCCAAGGACAAAAATATCGTTCAGCTGTAGCACCCTTCGGTGCCTAGCTGCAATGTCACCCGAAGGTTGCACGAGGGCTGGGATACTGCCAGGTTACCCAAGCCCAGACAGAAGTCGAGAGGCAGAAGTCAGGTTCGAACCACGGACCTTCCGGTCAGTAAAGTAAAGTCGCAACCACTTGGACCATCTCGCCAAGAACAACCAACAACTGCATTTTTCATTGACTTCAGAGAAGTCTTCCACCGCATGAATTGATTAGTTCCATGATTAATTGATGAAATACGTATACGACAGAGTTTCTACATATTTGCCATCCCGTTTATTAGCCCAGTTACGGTTGCGATGGGGCCTATAACCAAATATCCAAAAGTTTTCACACTACCAGGAGCGTTAGTTCCTGTTCTCAAACCTTGTTGCTGGATTCACCGGGTAATCCAAGCTGTTCCGAGAGATTGGAGTCACAACAGACGGCATGCAGACGACAGATTTTCACATGATGAATATCAAGTGGTCTCTTGTTGTAACATGCGCCTTGTGTTTTCTGAACACTAATTTTTACCCCAAGATTTCTCATTCCCTTGCATTACTCTGAAAGTATAAGGCAAGGGACTAGAGTTTTCTGCTTGTTATCGGGTTGTTACGCATACCGGTGAAAGGAAAAAGGCCTTCGCTGAGGAGTTTTTTTATCAGAAAACTTCAAGTGAACAGCTACAGACTATCGGACAGGGGAGAAGAACTCTTATATGCATCATGTTCACAAAACTGAATATACATATTCTCCTTGAACGCGCCTTCCTGAACTTTTCTGGGTATTCATTGACTGTTACTCAAATGCAAGCAAATGCTACAAAGCAACTCCGCAAATTTCGCAATAGATCTCACTTTTCAAGAGACATGGAGCGGATTTACGAGAAAACATACTACTCGCGTGCCCCCATTAGTAGTATCCACCGTTACACCACATAAGATATGGTCGTACTGTCATAGTGCATGAGTTGCATTCTGGTCAGCTTTGATGTCAGAAAATAACTCCACTGCAGTTAACGGGACGTACCTAGAAGACAACCAAGACAGTAGCTTTATCTTTCTGCTGTGAAAGTTGGTTCCTCCAACTGGCAGATATCAAGCGTCTGCAAACGTTTGACCGCCGATGTTTTCAAAAAGCTGGTTGCAGAATATCCGCAACCAGTTGGCTTGTGAATGAGTACCAAGAACGAGCTGTAATCATCACAGCAAATGAATATTGCCAAGTGGTGTTCTGCCAAAGAAAGTTGTGTTTTCCTACCGAATGGTGTAAGAGGAGGGGCGATGAAACAGTTGCACTGAATGAAGGCGTCTTTGCACGTTCTTGACTGCACAAGCTCCCGTATCCCGATATCCCACACGATATGGTAAGTAAGCGGTGGGTATGAGGACTGCTTTGCTAGTGCTCGTCTGGCGTCTTGCACTAGGCTCAACATGGACAAGGGTCATGATGAATACTCGGTTAATCTAGCTCGAGATAGCACAGTAGTTGAGGCGCCAGCTTACGGACCGGAAGGTTCACGGTTCGAACCCGACCGAAGCATCTCGGCTGCCCCAGTCTGGGCAACCTGACCCTAGGCAATCCCAGCCCTCATTCGTCCTTCCGTTGACATGGCAGCTAGGCAGGAAAGGGTGCTACAGCTGAACGGTTTGGTCTGATTTGATCTCATTTAAACAAGGTGCTCAGATTCGACCACTGGAATGTTCTGAGAAGGCACAGGCATCCTAGTCATGACCGTGTTTCCCAAGAGTGCAGGATTTTTCTTACACAAATCGTTCAGCTGCAACACCTTTTCGGTGCCTAACTGCAATGCCACCCGAAGGTTGCACGAGGGCTGGGATACTGCCAGGTTGCCCAAGCCTAGACAGGGGAAGTCGAGAGGCAGAGGTCGGGTTTGAACCATGGACCTTCCGGTCAGTAGATTCGCGCTCCAACCACTTGCTCCACCTCGCCCCCGTTTTTTTACACAGCGCGACTGATGCATTGCTCATGGCAGAGGAACTATCATTCCTTGCCCACTAACATTCATTCCGCACTGCCTCCAAATTTTGCTTCTTGGAATTCGCATGTAGTCCCTGAATGAAGGAGCTGCTCTATGATCTGCATGACTGAAAAGTTTTATTGATAGACCACTGGAAACCAACCGGAAAGCACTTGACACAGAAACAAGGTGAGTCTACCAATGTGGCGACTGAAACACACACACACACAGCAGAAAGAGAGATCCGAGCGAACTGAAACACGTGCCACAGATGAAAACGGGATGAAAACAGATCGTACAGACAGGAACCCAAAGGCTGAAACACTCACTTTGAGATGCTGAGCATCGAAAGGGAGTGAGCCGCTGACCAGAGTATAGAGGATCACCCCCAGGGACCAGACGTCCACTTCGGGACCGAAATACTTTTGCCCCTGGAACAGTTCGGGTGCCGCGTACGGAGGACTGCCGCAGTAGGTGTCCAGTTTATTCTCACCATCGTAAAAATTGGAAAATCCGAAGTCGGCAAGTTTTATGTTGTAGTCCTTGTCCAGTAACAAATTTTCCGCCTACAAGGATCGTTCGGTAGAGAACGGAATTTTTACGGGTATCACACAGACCCCCAATTCTATGGAGATTATTGGCACAAATTCGAACAGGTAACTATGGGCATATTGAGCCATTGAGACGTCATCATCATCATCGACAGCATGACATCAGTGTTCAACACCGATGCTTCACTGCCGTACAACCATGACTTATTTGAAAGCCTTATTGTAAAGGAAATAATAAAGGTGGATGGGGGAGGGACTTTGTGCTAGCTTAACACAATCATTTCGAGGTGCCTATACCTACAGACACTCACTCAGGCGATCTGGATATAAACGGACAACAAGAACGCCACTGACATCGGTTGGCAGTGTCTCCAACCAGGCACAGTGAGGATCACGCGGTCCCCATCCTGGAAGGTATTGAGACGTCATGCGCATCAATCAGGAGTAATCGTTAGGTTACCAGAAGACAAGTGATCAATCAAAAAACGTTTGACTCCCCAACAATGGATGGTAGTTTGCACTGAAAAGGGGAATAAGACTACCATCAATTGTGCGAAGATCAGGGATAACTGGGAGAAGAACCGTTGCCAGCGCTGGGATTTTCTTGATCGACTATCAGACAAAAAAGGTAAATCACCCATAATTGATTATCCAGGTGGAAAACCCAATGAAGGAAACTCGAATGGACAGTTGTCGACTAAATGGATAACGACTAAATAACCAGTGGATGGGAGGCGTGTGTGGGTGTGGGTGGATGGCGTGTACGGAAACAAAACGGTTTGGAACCATTGACTGACCTTCAAATCTCGGTGGACAATCTTTTTGCTGTGACAATACTCAACGGCCGAAACAAGTTGTCGAAATTTCACACGAGCTTCCTTCTCTTTCATTCGGCCATTAGTGACCAGATAGTCAAACACTTCGCCTGAAAAGAAAAAAAGTGGACAGAGTAGGGTTGAGTACCGTCAACAGATTACCCGCACAGTTTGGTCAGTCATCTCCGACCATACTGTGCGTCTCAAGTGTTCAGTTGTAGCTATTTGGATCGACAGTAGTAGGCCACCAGTTGGCCCTTCTGACTCTTTAGGACGTCCCTTCCACCCACTGGCATCGTTTTCTGGAGTTTCCAAGGGGGTTCAGTTGCATACACATGTGGCCCTGTGTGAACTGCATTTAGCAATATCGATTGCGTGTGTGACAAGCCAATCCGGCGAGGGAAATGTACACCTTTGTTAGCGAAATACACTAATTTGTCAGCTAATTTGGTTTTTCGAGAGACTCACCTGGAACCCAGCTGAATCTCTCGTTTGTGATGTTTCAGCAATCTTATGAGTAGTGCATTACGAATAAGTACTCCTTTGTTCACAAACGTCCGAAATTCTAAATCCTTAAGGTGATTGTACCTTAAATAGACAACGAATATTGGCCGATGTGTGGAATGCTCTCCAAACCTATGAAAAAGAAGTTTCCCTTAGACCGATTTTAAATAGCGACCGGTTGGTATGCTGTCGTATACGCAGGCTCTTGTTCGGAGGGAGGTATTGTCACAAGAGAAAGTGGCTTGTTTTGAGCGGTCTGGTTTCACTGTTGACGTACAATGAGAAATCGACCAGTCGGTCTGGTTGCACTGTTGACGTACAATGAGAAATCGACCATGCGTTGCATTGGGAGGGCACCGACAAGAAAAGTGGAGAGCCACCAGTTTGGTTGACTGACGGTACGATAACAGGTTAAAAACACGTTACCCAGGTGTTCACCCTTCTGTTTGGTGGTATGCAGAACAGAGAGGGGGATAGTGCATTTCTCCCGGTTAGTCTACAAACGCACTCGTTGGCGCGCAGAATGAATAGCCGCAGTTCGGATTCAGCGCAAAAACACGGTAATAAATCCATAGCCGTCCACGTATAAACATTGCAAGCGGACATCAGTTAGTGACAGAATAACAAACCAGAGCCAGCTGTGATGGCGTGTGCAATACATCAGCAAGCAGTACAATCACAGATATAAACAGAAAACACTTGACAGTGAATTGGGGCAGTACCTGGCTAGCTTATCAGTATTATATGCATCTCGAGGACAAACGAACAGCCATTAAAGAGGAAAGCTGGCTATATCGATAGGACATTTACGAAAGATCAAAAGAATCAGCTGAGACATCGTCCGTGCACCAAGCTGATTCGAAACGAAGCGAGGCTAAACTTGGACAGGATGTCCGGGATAGACATGTTTCTGTGTTTCAACCTCTCACTGACTGTTTACATATTCTGGATTAGTTGAATTCCTTATCACGCTTATCACGATACATTAGTCGCAGTATAAATTCCTCGAAATTATTTGTCCTTTGCATTCTGGTGAACTGACGAGACAGACTCCACAAAAAAAAACACAGACAAAACGTTTACTTGCAAGTAAACCGATACAATTAGAAAATAGACGATTCGCCGAGTCTAAGTGTTTCTACTGAGGAACTGTCAAGAAGCAACAGACCAATAGGGCGATTCTATGTGGGAAAGCCGAGAAGCAAGTTTTGTTCATAGTCATACCACTCTTGTTTGAATGGTCGTCCTCCCGTTCTGGAGCAATTATTCCGGTGAGTCCACACCGAGGGGGGATGTACTGGACCCGAGTTTCGCTCTTACTATAGCTCATTAGCAGTGCATACCCAGTGGACGCGCCGGGAGCTGAACCCCGGACATATGACATGCGAGGCAAGCGTTTCATCACTACTCCACCAACGCAAGATGGCTCAAGTGGTTAGAGCGCGGATTTACTGACCGGAAGGTCCGTGGTTCGAATCCGACCTCCGCCAATCGACTTCCCCTGTCTAGGCTTGGGCAACCTGGCAGTATCCCAGGCCTCGTGCCAACCCTTCGGGTGGCATGGCAGCTAGGCACCGGAAGGTGCTACATCCACCAACGCATGTTGGACGCATCTGAATTTTCACGTCTGAACAGGCGAACCTGTTCACTCTTGAGCGTGGTGATTGGTGTGCCCGACTCATCGAACGACCACCCAGTAACTGTCCTGTTTAGGTCTCAAGTTTTTCGGGAATCACGATCAGTGGGAATCTCACGAATCTTCAGGGGGATTTAAAATCACAACCTTACACCAGCAGTAGAAGAGTAAACTGTTCGGCTACGAGTAGCTGATCAGTAGTGTGAATAACATTCACACAGACAGAATATAGCGCCACTCATCCTTCAGTCGTGGAATCCACACTACATAGTATGGCGACTTATCGGCTGGAACGCTTAAACACCTTCCAAAGGACTGCCAAGACGGAAATTTATTTAAACTCGTCAAAATTTTTTAGCGGATTGAAAAAAAACAAGATGCGGATCTGCGAAACCAACTCGAACGATCTCTTAAGCGCTATGAGTTTGAAGCAGGGCTATGTTCCTGTTCCAGCCTCCATTCAAGGACCATCCGTTCAAAAGCGCTCACGAATGGGGAGCAAGCATTCCAAAGCAAAGCCGGATAAATGGTTCAATCAAACCGTTTCCTAGATAAAGCGTTGGTCAGCAAATCCCATGCCCGAATATTGCTGTATGCAGACGATTATGCCTTGTTTTCACATTCTGAGGCGGAGTTACAGCGGCTGACTACCATGTTCGGTTGAGTAACACCTCGCTTTCACTTAAATTTCTAAGACAAACAAAAGATTCAGTGTAAAACACCAAGAATTGTACTAAGCAGTTGCGAGACAGTATTGAATCTAACCTGACGGCATGATAATTCCCCCATTCATTTTCTTACTCCATCCATGTACTTTTCACCTCCATGTGTTTTGCTCTTGTCACAAAGGCCACCTCGCCCAACACTGATATCATAGCATGTGTGATTGTGTGCAGTTGACCTACTTAGGCGTGTTCATGTCTCTTCTACCGAGTCCACCCTGACTTGTTCTGTCTTGATCACACCGCTAATCAGAACCACGAAACTATCCTTGGAAGGGACAACAGCGACCCACACCACTGAACCAACATTCCACTCGACGTTGTCTGGTGTGTGGACCTTGACACTGCCCTGTGCCGGTCAGTGAGAGACTTGAGAACTTGCTGACGTCACAAACTTAAACTGCACCACTTCGGTCACTGTGTAAACAGTACCGTAGATTTTCGAACCCAATTCTTCTTTTTGATATTTGTGAACCTCATCAGAGAGCGTGTTTCGCGGATTTCTTGGTGGTACATTATTCAAAGACCTGACATCTGATATTCAAATAAACGTACGAACTGCAGAAGCCAGGATAGCATCTGGAGGCCTCGAGAAATGCGTTTGGGGCGATCACTAAATTCGCATAGGCACCACGATTGCAATGTATCGGGTGTTGTGCTGTCTTTATTAATTTACAGCAGCGAGATCTGGACGGCATGTTCGGGTCATTGATCAATATCACCTGTAGCGTCTACGCGAAAACCTTCAGATAAAAAAATAGAGTGACAGAATCCCCAACACTGTTGGAATTGAAAGCAGCCTGGTGCGAAATTAGCTCAGCTGTTTAGGTCATTTGTTAGACGGAATTCCACACGGATCTCGCTTTACCGCTCGCAGCCAGGTGGTGCTACGGCCGAGAAGCCTAGCCCACACAAGATTGTCCAAAAGTTCGGCACGCTTGCCGATCCGGCATCAAACCGAGATCTGATTGGTCGATTGGACCCAAACACAGCCAATCATGATTCAGTATTGGCCGAATGTCGGTTGCCAGTGCCGCATCTAGAAGGCGTCAGNTTTTGGGCGTCAATATACTTTGTGCACCCTTGATGGTTGGTTTGATGTGGACGCTAGCTTGGGAAGCTCAGACAGAGAACTAAGCTGAGAAGAACTGAAACGAATGGCAAAATCTCGTACCCAAAACAGCTCGTTGTGGTCAGCTGAAGAAGAGTACGGAATCGGGGACGTCAAAAGTTCCGCTTTTGGGACAGCCATCAGGTAAGTTTCAAAAACTCTAACGTCTATTTTACGTCATCAGAGGACATGGCATCAAGCAAAACGAATATCCAAACAGGTGTGGGAAGCCTGAAAATGCAACGCGTTGTAATGCTGAAAAACCAGTCAGCCATTCGAAAGTGGCTAAACTTGCCGGATGTCACCTCGATCACGTGGATTTGCGCAACATGAGGACGCATGGGGACCAGCTTTGTGGGTCACCAGTGTACTCACCGGTCCATGAGTGCAGCGGAAACAAACTAGCCTGCCAAATTTCAATGCGAAACGGGACCAGAAAGTGACTGCAGAGTGATTCATTGACTAACTGGATTTTCAAGATCAGACGAGCAGGCTGCTAGCAGATTAAAGATGGTTAGTTTTCCACCTCGGTACACGCCACTTCCATACCGTTGGCAACTTAATTCTTACGCTTTTGGTGCGTTGAAGGGCGGGTCACTTCTTGGAATACTTCAAAAGGTTGTGAGAAAACACCTCACTGAATTTGTAGCCATACTTTTTCATAATCTAGCTTCTGTGGGCTCATGACTAGCATTCATAGGCTTCAGATAGGCGAATACGATTGATCAGATGGACAGTAATATTTGTTCTATTGGTTCGTGAGCATACTAATGGATGTTTGTCCACTCATGTCGGGATGTTCCTAACCACAGTGCCACATGTCGTCTGGGCAATGGACAATAGCCATGTTTCCCCTGGTACAAAAGCGGGACTTTGGAAGATCAACGAAAAGCGATGCAAAAAGAATAGAGGTGGGACTTTGAAAGATCAAAGATTTGCTTTATTTTTAGTCAGACTATTCTCATGTTCAGTTCATCCTTCCAAAAGAGTATCGTAACTAATCGATTCTTATGGCCAATAGACCAATAAATCCATCGAGTGTTTAGCAAGCCTTTTGAAGGGATGATGATATAGTTTTGTCACAGGGTGGATCACGTGACCCAACGAAACGCGATGCAAAAAGAATAGTGTTATCCAGCCAAGACATCATTTTATTCTAGTGCACTACATTGCATTTGACACCAACAGAGATATCAGTGTGTTCGGGAAACCGTACAGTGTCCCTATCATCGTCATCATCATCCTAATCGACAGCATGACCATGAGTGTTCAACAATCATGGTTCGTTGCCGTACAACCAGGATTTATTTGAAAGCCCTGAAGGGAAGGGACCTAATGCTAGCCAACCACAGGGGCGAGATGGACCAAGTGGTTGGAGTGCGAATTTACTGACCGGAAGGTCCGTGGTTCGAACACGACCTCTGCCACTCGACTTCCCCTGTCTAGGCTTGGGCAACCTGGCAGTATCCCAGCCCTCGTGCTTGCTTCGCGTGGCATGGCAGCTATGCACCGAAAGGGTGCTACAGCTAAACGATTCCTTAGCGAACCACAATCATTTCAAAACACATATATCTCCAGTCACTCTGGAAAGAAAGTGAGAACAAGAACACCGCAAATATGGACTAGCAGCCATGTCTTGTAGCTTCTCCAGCCAGGCACAACGTAGATCACGCGGTCCTCATCCCGGACTTCCCGCAATCATTTTTCATACCCTTTGCCAGGTCGAAGGGTGGCCCTTTTTGCTTCCGCCACACGCACGGAAAACCGCAAGCACTCTTTTCTGCGAACGATTTTTCGGTATGCGCAATAGAGGACCTGACCATCACAGCTTCCGGTGCTGAACACATTATTTGGATTAAAGTTCTCGCCGTACACCGAAAACTCGCTTCGAAATTGCTTCGTTCCGGATTGACCCATATCAGCCAACACCTGCAATGGTTTTGAGTGAACGGTTGCAGAAACCCTGAAAACGTCTGAGTTCGGCTGCTCACACAGGCCAAATCTCACGACCGTACAACAAAAGAGCTCGTACTGTGGCCCGGTATACACGTTCCTTGAGGTTCAGTGATACACCGCTTTGCCACCAGAGGTATCTCAAACTAGCGAACGCGACCCTCTTTGAAGATTGGTGCATTCAGTTTATCGGTCACAATACAATCAGGAGTAACAGAATTTAAGGAAATAAGTGAAACCTCGAGTGCCCCCTTGGATCGTACGGGGCGTGTGCGTCACATTTGAACTATCGAACACTTGGAAGCGAAATTTTCTAAAACGCAGGTGGGTGGAAAATTGGACGACTTAGTGAAACTGATGTGCGCACCGTTCTGGCGTTGGATGAAGTGAAGAGTACTTGTTCCACTGTACGAAACGCAAAAATTGTTGTCATCGAATCTCGCAAAATCATACCATCTACGGTTAAATGATGTTGAGACACTTGGGTGATCGAATCAGTGGGAATGCCCTGTGTGCCGTTGAGTCCGACAAAATCTAGCGTTTATCACGAATCCCAGCTGCGAAAATAGCGACGGCTATGCGCAATACGTGTTCGCACTGAGGATCGACTTCAACCAGAGTTCAGATTCTCTGCATGGCTCGTGCAGTATGTAAACACGAAGCGAAAAATTTCGTGAAAGCACTGGACTTGAGTTTTGAGCAACACTGAATATTCCTAGCCGCGTCCGGATTGAGTGGAGCCAACCTATGCTGAAAAGCCGAGAAGCACTGGACACTTGTTTTTTCCCTATTAGGAATCATCAGCAGTGCGCATCTCACGAAACGGCTATCGTGCTTCCTTCGAGTGACATGGCAGCCAGGGGCCGAAAGCGTGTTGCAGCTGAACGATTTATTCATTCGTTCCCCCACAAATATGGCCATGCTGGCCTCCTTGATATTCCAGTCTGAGTAGCATATCATTAAATTTAGAAGGCATCGTAATACAGTTTCTCCCAGTATTGGTAATCGCTGGTAGCATGGTAGCTGGTAGGCACCGAAAGGGTGCCTAGCTACCATGCCACCCGAAGGAAGCACGAGGGCTGTGATACTGTTAAATCGCCTAAATCTAGACGGGAAACCGAGAGACAGGTCTCGTTCGCCACGGACCTTCTGGTGAGTAAATTCGCGCTCTAACCACTTGGACCATCTCGCCCCCTCCCGTTCGTTTACATGATTAGTGATGTCTCCGCTGGACTACGATAACTAGGCAATCGATCAGAATCAACCGACTAGAGGAAAAGTGCCTGCAGTAATGCATCTCAAGTTTACTCACCTTCCCCGTAATGTCCATAGCCGCTACCGTGAACGAACTAAAGTGGTCAGACATTCAACAGTGAGTTGTAGAAAAACGGGATCCATTGTGGTTTCGGACAGCAGACCATCTGATTGAGAAACGGGGATGCCAAAGGACAGTCTGCCTCAAGGAGCTCATTTCACCCAACCATATGCTGGGTGGAAGTGACCCAGAAGTGGACGAAATATGGAAACACCATTAGACTCAGTCGGGTCGACAACTGAGGACTCCCTGGATGGGTACCCTGGAACTCGATTCTTGAAGGGTTGAGGACACTGGCAGAAATGTCTCACTCAACGAGCCCGCACCTACCAAAGCTTTGGCTCAGCTGCTCAGCTTCCGAACTAAATGTTAATGCCATCGCCTCGAATGCCCGGCTATCTCCCTTGGGTCCTCATTTTCTGATGATCGAAATTGTAGCAGCTGGAACCAACGTACACGGTTTATAGCTGATAAACCGAACTGAACTGACACCAGGATGTGTACGAACAATAGGCGTCATCAATTCAATTCAAGTCATTTCAAGTGAAGACTATTCAATCTGAGGTGAATTTTATCAGCCTGCTGTCCAGGGGATTCAAACACTGAATCGAGTACATCAACGAGGCTAACAGACAGTAACAGAAAGAACGAAAGAAAGGTTGCGTGACTCACCATTCGGAGCATACTCCATGACGAGATAGACGTGCCGTTCCGATTCAATGACCTCATAGAGACGGACTGCAAGCACGCAGGCAAAACAAACGAAAGGGTATGAAATAACACGGGGAAAATACGGTAGTGGCATAGAGAAAACGGCAAAGATAACAGAAGAATTTGAACACAAAAAGACGTCATAAACACTGGAAATAAGTTCGAAAAACGGCAAACTACTTACAGTGGAGGTCGAAAATCTGAGATAATTTAAACGCAATGCAACCCCCAGAAGTCAGGTTAGTGTTAGCATGTGTTATCCGCACTGTATGCGTCAACTGGATGAAGTCAGATCGAAGCAAATCAACGTAAGCTATTGACACAGTAGGAGCTAGCGTCGTTCCACTAAGAGCGCATCACGTGTTGATTTAATCGTCAAATTAGCATGGTCCAGTCGATGAAAGTCCATCCGATCTACTGAGAATTCTAGTAAATGGTGTGGCGTCCTGGCTTGTCTGATCAGACCCAGTTCACTGAACACAAACCAGAATTGAAAAGGACGGTTGCTATAAGCCATACTACTTTAAGTGGTGAAAGTAGATTAGATCCCGCATCCACACATGTCCAGTCAACCTACATAACCCATTGAGAGTGGATGATTGCCTGGAGATATCGAAACCGAGAGATTCAGCTGGGTTCCAGGTGAGTCCCTCGAAAAACCAAATTCGTTTGCAAATGAGTGTATATTCGCTAATTTCGTGCAATTTGGTTTCCAGTAGAACATAAGGTTGAGGGAAACTCGGGGACTGCGCCTACCCGATGAGCCCCAAGAAGGGCGAAACCGGTCGTGAGCTGTCGAGGAGTTTTCAGCAACCTTATGAGTAGTGCGTTACAAAAATATGGATGAATGCTTTTCTGTGAATAGGATTATCCAATGAATTCATATGCTGTGGCTAGTTTCGGTATAGTGAAACGATGTAATTATTGGAGTAAGCAAACAGGAAATTAGGAAGGGCGCTTGTGAACAGTCAGTTTGGTTATTTGGGGGTTGCCAATGTCAAACCACTGTGCTAAGGAGACCTATTCAGACTTCACTTCATCCATTAGCAAAGGCGTTGTCTTACCGCGCAGTTGGTACACAGCACTCTCTCCATAGATGACCCGGCCTTGACCTAGACTACCGCAGAACCTGACATTCACACACAAGAGCAAGATTCCGCAAATGAACAAGCTATCGATACGGGATGGCTCAAGTGGTTAGAGCGCGAATTTACTGACCGGAAGGTCCGTGGTTCGAACCCAACCTCTCGACTTCCCCAGTCCAGGCTTGAGCAACCCAGCCGTCGCGCTTCCCGCGGGTGACATGGCAGTCGGCTGGACGATTTTTTTAAACTATCGATTCGCGTCATCAATATAACTTCACCTGTAGAGTAGTATCTGCCAGTTACCTTGGTTCTGTTACCGAAAACGTGTTATTTCGGGCTAACTGTTTGGAGGTTGGCTGATTGGTAGGATAAATTCAGATATAGACCGACTGACACAGTACGCATGAGTCACCTAGAGACTCATAAGGAATGTGCACGCTTACCGGAGAACAGCCAACCAACAACATGAGATACAGTAGATGATAGACAAGTAGAGTCTTTGGTAAACAAGTCGATATCAAGGTAACCAGAGTCACCATCGTCATCATCAGTATTGACACTGATGATTCACTACCGAACAACCACAAAAATTACATTCAAAGTGAAAAGAGAGAGAAGTGGGTGAGAGAGGGGAGCTGGTGCTGGCTTATCGCAAGCCTTCTGAGGTGCCTACACCTCCAGGAGCTCAGTCAGACAATCTGGAAAGGAACTAACGTACGAACGCAACTGACGTCGATCAGACTTCATAGCTTGCACTGTATGCAGCTGAGTGCATGGGGGGAGGTCACGGGTGCCCCACAGGATGATGTAGCATGATAGTACTTTCAGTTGTGACGTCTGTGGTTTTGTATGGACTAGAATACTGTCAGGGTTCCCACACCTAGACAAGAGGACGATTACCATTCTCAGCCGAAAGAGCTGGGATCAAAAGCCTGGCCGCAAGGCAGATGGTGACTTCTGACAAAACTACAGTGGTATAAATTGTTTAAACAAAACAAGTGGCGTATCTTTTCCGACCCCTAACCGGGATGGCAAGTAGACTGTGTTCGTCAGACCTCTATCAACTGATGGCCCAAGTGGTTACAGCGCGAATTTACTCACCAGAAGGTCCGTGGTTCGAATCCGACCTCCGCCACTCGACTTCCCCTGTCTAGGCTTGGGCGACCTGGCAGTATCCTAGCCCTCGTGCTTCCTTCGGGTGGCATGGCAGCTAGGCACCGGAAGGGTGCTACAGCTGCACGCTTTTTCTTTCTATTAACTGACTAGGGGAAGTGCTTCGGGTATCAACGTGAAACGAACTCAGTGGATCACAGAGTTCAAAAGCTGCCACACCGCGATCAGATTCAGTCTCCTTGAAGCGATTACTAGAGGCAACCATGTTTGAAGTCCAAATCGTCTGTTATTCCCGCAGAAATAGGGTGTGTTTATCCCGTGGATATCAGAACACTTCCACGTCTGGACGAGTAGCGTACTGGTAGTGGGCTGATTTTGAAAAAGTTCACGTCCTAGATCTCAAAAATCGCAGTAATACTAAACCGAGATGAGCTTGGGGAGACGTGGGAACAGTCAATTAGGAGGCATTCGGTTTAGATTTTCCGTGTTGAACTTCATTCGTGACACCGACGGGTACCACTCAGAGAAATGAATGACTGAACGAGAGTTGTCATACACAAGTACGGGTGTTTGTAGAAGCGCCATAGCTCGGAGGCTATACATATGTATTGTTCGCGAGCAGGCACCGCTTGTCGTGAACGATGTGGGCAGGGAATCCTACCGAGAATGTCAAGATCAGCTGTGCGACCTAACAGCCCGAAAAGTGGATAAGCCGAGAATGTGGAACCCGTCAGGGGAAGAAGGAAATCATGGGATTATGTTAACTAAACCTACCAAGCCTTTCTCACCAGTCTGCGTGTCGCGAGACTGTCACATCCCTCTGCTATGGGTTGGCGATCGCAGGCGCCTCTGAAGGTCAGTTAATACTTAACGCCCCCTATGTACACACACATTAAGTATACGGTGTCTCCAATGAGCCAATGCACTCGTAATTTGCATACTAGAGTTTGTGTATGTGCCCGGTCATCATTCGTTCGATCGCATATCAAGGTCGAATTGGTAATTCGGCAGAATCTCACACGATTCTTTCAAGGAGTTCATCTTGTCGATACAGTACATCTTGACCACTGGCGCATAACGTACCAGGAAGGGAGTCCCACCTTCTTGAAGAATATCTGACGGAGAAGAATGGAGCGCTTCATTTTGGCAACAATAAGCTGATAAATAGTCCCCTAGCGTAACGCTTGTTTTTTGTTTTCGGAACGCGTTTTGGCTAAAATGTCTGTAGAACAACAGCATAGCCAGACAAGCTAGACAAGCCATATACGGTAACAAAAAGTGCAGTTTACTTCCCAAGGAGTCCTTCCAGCTCAATAGTGGAGACAAAATTTTTTCGAAGAAACAGTTCTCCAGAACTTCCCATTATCCGCATTGACTGATTCCCATTCGAAGAGAAGACACCGAAATGAACGTTCAGCTGAGCACCCCTTCGGTGCCTAGCTGCCATGCCACCAGAAGGAAGCGCGAGAGCTGGGATACTGCCAGGTTGCCAAAACCCGGGAAGGGGAAGTCGAGAGGCGGGTTCGAACCACAGACCTTCCGGTCGGTAAATTCGCGCTTTAACGGCAAAGCTGATTGTGTAGCATCTTGATAAATTTTTGATCACTAACCACTCCAAAGACAAAATGTAGCACCCTACCGAAAGTAAATCCTAAACTAGCGAATATACACTCATCTGCAAACTAATTTGGTTCTTTCGAGAGACTCGCCTGGAACCTAGCTGAATCTCTCGTTTATGATGTTCTCAGGCAACTGAATGTGCTTCGGGTATCAACGTGAAACGAACTCAGTGGATCACAGAGTTCAAAATCTGCCACACCGCGATCAGATTCAGTCTCCTTGAAGCGATTACTAGAGGCAACCATGTTTGAAGTCCAAATCGTCTGTTATTCCCGCAGAAATAGGGTGTGTTTATCCCGTGGATATCAGAACACTTCCACGTCTGGACGAGTAGCGTACTGGTAGTGGGCTGATTTTGAAAAAGTTCACGTCCTAGATCTCAAAAATCGCAGTAATACTAAACCGAGATGAGCTTGGGGAGACGTGGGAACAGTCAATTAGGAGGCATTCGGTTTAGATTTTCCGTGTTGAACTTCATTCGTGACACCGACGGGTACCACTCAGAGAAATGAATGACTGAACGAGAGTTGTCATACACAAGTACGGGTGTTTGTAGAAGCGCCATAGCTCGGAGGCTATACATATGTATTGTTCGCGAGCAGGCACCGCTTGTCGTGAACGATGTGGGCAGGGAATCCTACCGAGAATGTCAAGATCAGCTGTGCGACCTAACAGCCCGAAAAGTGGATAAGCCGAGAATGTGGAACCCGTCAGGGGAAGAAGGAAATCATGGGATTATGTTAACTAAACCTACCAAGCCTTTCTCACCAGTCTGCGTGTCGCGAGACTGTCACATCCCTCTGCTATGGGTTGGCGATCGCAGGCGCCTCTGAAGGTCAGTTAATACTTAACGCCCCCTATGTACACACACATTAAGTATACGGTGTCTCCAATGAGCCAATGCACTCGTAATTTGCATACTAGAGTTTGTGTATGTGCCCGGTCATCATTCGTTCGATCGCATATCAAGGTCGAATTGGTAATTCGGCAGAATCTCACACGATTCTTTCAAGGAGTTCATCTTGTCGATACAGTACATCTTGACCACTGGCGCATAACGTACCAGGAAGGGAGTCCCACCTTCTTGAAGAATATCTGACGGAGAAGAATGGAGCGCTTCATTTTGGCAACAATAAGCTGATAAATAGTCCCCTAGCGTAACGCTTGTTTTTTGTTTTCGGAACGCGTTTTGGCTAAAATGTCTGTAGAACAACAGCATAGCCAGACAAGCTAGACAAGCCATATACGGTAACAAAAAGTGCAGTTTACTTCCCAAGGAGTCCTTCCAGCTCAATAGTGGAGACAAAATTTTTTCGAAGAAACAGTTCTCCAGAACTTCCCATTATCCGCATTGACTGATTCCCATTCGAAGAGAAGACACCGAAATGAAAAAGTCCCGCACTACTGACACCGATTTTCAGCTGACAAATAAGTCAGCAGCACAGCTAACGCACCATGCGACCACATCAGTGAGTCCCTTTTTACTGGAACTGACTTAAATTAGCGCATTTGGAACAATTGGCCGGAAATTTAAAAAATCGTTCAGCTGTAGCACCCCTTCGGTGCCTAGCTGCCATGCCACCAGAAGGGGAGGTCTCTACGCGACACGCAGTCTCTTCCACCAAGCTGAAGTCTAGAGGCAGAGGTCGGGTTCGAACCACGGAACCTCCGATCAGTAAATTCGCGCTCTAACCACTTGGGCCATCCCGCCCCAACTGACTGGAACATTTCACACCTGAAGGCAATGCAGATGAAGGACAAACAGGGCTGAGGACGTTCCGCAGAAGTTTAACATGTTGCCGCGATACGCAAAAGTATTGAATATGGAAATGAAAATCTTACCGCACCTAGCTTAAGATTTAAGTGAAATTTCACTGACCAAATACAGGAGGCATGTCAATAGTTGCCCCTGTAGGCCCTACAATTGTCGAAGGACAGTGTGTACTCCCCTAAAGGTGCTTACCCGAGAAGCAAAGACTACTGTACTCGTTTAACTTTACCAGCCGTGTAGATCACAGTCTCTCTACCACATGAACATCCCCCCGTTAGGTAAATTGGTCGAAATCACGTGATTCAGAAGGTAGCCTAAGGTCAGTAAAAAGAGAAACGAAAAGACTAGTTTGTAAAAATCTCAAACAAAAAAACATACCAATATTGGGATGATTCAACATCTTCATGATTTTCACCTCACGGCTCAACTGGAAAAAGGAGAAAAAGGATCGCAATCTAGCGTGAATGAAAATGTTTCCTAAAGCGCACAAAAGTTCCAAGGAAGGGACGCATCGGGTGTTGGATGAATACATCAGGTGTTGGATGAATAATCCAAAAGCGTTATTTCACCTGTCGTAGAGCGAAGTGGGATTTACTCGGTGACAGAAAGAGGTTAAACGAGGGAGACATTTGGCTGTTGGTCTGTTTGCCGAGGTGGGACGAAACGTTTGCAACCCAAATGCTAAGCATGGTAGCAACCAGCGCATCCGAGCTACCTAAATTTCGCAAAATCGCTAAAGGGAACATCTCCCTGGTCGAATTTGAGAGAACAAGAACCAACTGCACACCGACGATGTCCCCTCGAATGGTGCTAAAAGTCAATCAGTTGCCAAGTTCGGCGAACAGATCAAGGGGCCATCTGGAGATTTGGTAAGGTTCAATAGAGAATTCATCCCACTAGTGAAGGCGGTTTATGTTGACGTGTCGAGGAACTCCTGTATCATCCTCACCGGAAAACATCAGAGGGAGCTTCGAACTCGCAATCCCTCGATTGAACACTTCACCATTCGGTTATGAGCGGCTAAACAGCATATTGATCAACTCGCTTTTAGATAGGGCAACTCAACGCGACTCACGCCTCAATCAGGGAAACCACGTGGTCACGTACTCACTCGGGTGAGGAGATTCGATAACTTTCCTCATCATCAATGACCAACAAATAGTTCAGAGGAAGTATAATTTCACAAGATGAGTGAAACTTTCTTCCGAGAAGTCATCGCTCGAGAAGCTAGTCTCTACGTGACCACGTGATGTGGTGGCTGTGAGTGAAGGAAGAATGACGCTATGCCCCGTCTTGGTGAAAGCTAATCCCACTACTGACCAGACACTAGTCGCCAAATGGTTAGGTGTTCAAGCATTAGCCGGAAGTAGTCTCGTGAGATGCGCACTGCTGATGATTCTTTCT